TGGGGGATTGAACCGCGGTCCCTGATGCTTTGCCAAGCTTGTTCTAAGTAGGTGCCTTAGACCACTGAGCCATCTCTCCAGCCCCCCTAGTTGTTTTTAAGAGACCTTTTCTTACTTTTTCACTGGCTACAATGGTGTCTTTAAGGTCAGAAAGTCTATTTTCTCTTTCCCTCAAATGGTTTTGCCAGCTTGTGATTGAGGTTTTAATTTCCTGTATATCACTTTGAATCTGTTTCATACTTTCTGTTTCTTTCCTAAATTGCTTATTCAGGGGTATATTCTGCTCTATTTTTTTTTATCAATGTATTCTTTTGAAGCACTTAGTCCTTCTTTGATTATAATTGTCACTACATTTTTTTAGTTCAGAAATTATTTCCGATCTGATTTCTTCTATACCTTTGTGCAGTTGTTTCTTTGCTTCCAACACTATTATTTCAGAGATATCTGGGGTGTGATTTCCAGTTTCCTCAGTGCTAGTGTCTTGTGCATTTGTACTGGGTGGACTCGGGGCCTGAGACTGCATTTTGTTCCTTCTCTTTGTCATTTTGTATACCACTGTCTTCTGACCGTTGGTGTAAAGCTTAGATAGAGTTATTACCTTAGCACCAGGTCTGGATCTACGAAGTTCAGATTCCTCCAGCTGGGTGTTGCTTGGATCTGGCTGCTGTGCTCCACTTCTTTCTGCCGCACTACTTTCGTTAGAGTTGAACCCTTTGTGTCTCTCTGGCAAGAAGTTCTGCTCCTGAATCAGCTGGGTGGGTCTTGCCTCTAGCCTCTTTGCAGGGAGTTCTGCTGAAGGTTTCCTTGCTGGGCCTGCACTCTGGAACTATTCAGGATCCATGGGCCCCAGGCAGTCTCACTCACACTTCCGACCAGGACTCTGGGTCTGTTCAGGATCCAGCGGCTGCAGGTCGTCTCACTTATATGCCAGGCCTGCGCTTTGGGTCTATTCAGGATTCGGAGGCCCCGGGTCGTCTCACTTACTCACCAGGCTTGCGCTCTGGGTCTATTCTAGCTCACAGTTTATAGAGGTTTCAGTCCCTAATCAGCTTGCTCCAAGGCAGGATGACACAGAGGGGCAAGAGTTCATGGCCACAGAAGACAGCAAATATAACAAGAGAGCGAGCATGGTTGATTTTCGGTTTTGTGGGATTTTTAAAAATGAATTTTGGGGGCAAGCTGCCCACTAGTTCTGAATACTAATAGATTTAAATTTAAAAACCCTCATCCTTGGGGCATATTTTGAGTTTTGAGAAACAAATTTTTCCTTAACTATCTTTAGGGCAACCAAGCCTTCGAGAAGCTATTTCTATGTCCTGTATAACCAACGGAAGTGGTGCAAACAGAAAACCAGCTCATTCCAGTTCAGTCTCAATTGCAAGAAAAGAAACTCTATCATCTGCTGCTAAAAGGTAAAGGGGAAAAATACCAGTGTTGCAAAATTGTATGAGCTTGATAAATCAATCTACTTTTGAAAAAATAAGAAATACAGCTGTATGAGAGTCTAAACATGTCCTTTATATTTTTTGTGAATGAGATTTATCGCCTGTACATAGTTTATAGCATACTTTGAGTTTTAGTATGGAAGCTTTTTTTATTAAAGGAAGAGTAACTTCATGTTCTGTTTTTGTTTTTCATCAAGAGTTTATTGATAACTTTGTCATTATACTTAATGAAATTATCTATAAATTTTCCTTAACAAGTAATATATTCGATACTGCATTTCTAAAGGGAAAATAGAATCTTACATTACGGGGAGACTAAATGCTGAAACTTCTTCAGCCATAAGACTATAGAAAGTTAAGGCCTAACTCAGGATATTGTACAGTGCTAATGTGATTGATTCCATCTACTGCATTTGTGTCTGCATGTCAGAGGCGGGGAGGGGGGGAGGCAGGAAGCTGTGGAATTACTGCGATATAAAAGTTTCAGTGGAGTACAGATTTGGATTCTGCGTATATAATGTTCTGTTTATATCAGTTCATTGATGGGGATTATTTCCCAGTAAAACTGGTTGTAGGATTTAGCCCTTTTTTGAAATTCTGAGCAGATTATCTCAAGAGACTAAGAATACAACTTTATAATCTTAAATAATTTGCTTCAAATGGTGCATGAGAAAAATCCTAAGAGAATAATGTGTAGCAGTGTACTGAAAACACATCAATAAACTAATGCCAGTGACTGAATTTTTCATAGTGTGAAATTGTGTATTTAACCAAATAGGTGACTACCAGAATGTTGAAGAAGTAAGTTTTTTAGTCCTTTTAAAAATTCTTTCTAGAATTTAATCTTTTAACTTATTGTTACAGGATCTAAATGTTACCCTTCAAAGAATGCTGAAAGTTAATACCTGTGCTCCACTTTTAGGAAAAAGGAACAAATTATAAATTAAAAGAATTCAAAGTAAAAAAAAAAATTTAAATATATTCAGTGCGGGGTCTACAGGGTCTCACTAGACAACTTGGACTTGTAGTGATCCTCTTGTTTTCAGCCTCCCACGCACTGGGATTACAGGCCTGCACCACCATGCCCAGTCTTAATCGCCATCTCAGCATGCCCCGGGGTGGGTCCAGCCTGGCACTCCCGGGATCGAACCCTGGTCTCTGTACCTGCCTAAGCAGGTGTGTTAGTCCACTGTGCTGTCCGGTGGGCCCTCAAAATAGAAGATTTTAATGCTGTTTTCAGTAAATTTCCTTTCTGTATCCAGTAACAGTTCAGATTCAGCCCATTTTCTTGCATAGCTGTTGTGCTGTTACTGTATAGTCAGCAGTACTATGCACAGTAGTGAGTCAGTAAATCTCAGGCCAACTGAGTTTGTTCTTGTGTGATGCACAGACTCTGTATTTTCATTTTAAGTAACCTAGAAGAAAAGTTCTTTTAAGTTTCTTGTGTCCACAGGAAACTAGTGGTCCATGCATGCAGGATAGTTTGAAGACTGACAGGAAAGAAGTAATTTCTACATCTGTTTTGGTTTTGTTTTTAATTTCAAAATTCCTCTAATATTTTTGAAGTAAATTTTTTTTAGCACATACTTAAAAAATATTTAGCATGAAGTTGATAATCAGTGGCCAGTGTGAAATCAGAAGGTATTAGAACTGAATCAGATTAAGAGATGTCACTGCCAAAACGAAGATGTAACTTATTAACTAGTATATAATAGTTAAATGGTATATACTATATATTTAAGATGTTTTTGAAACATACCTGATTGATTATACACCATATGGCAAAATTACAAAATGTGCTTTGATTAAGAACTATAGGCAGAAAGTGCAAGGTCCTGAGTTTGATCCCTGGTACCACCAAAAAAAAAAAAAAAAAAAACTATAGGCAGTTGTTAGTTTTCTGGCTTTTCAACACTAGAAGTCTTGATTCCATCTACCTTGTAATATTGTACTCTCTTTTCTAGTACAATTAGGAATGGAAGATAGTTCACTATAAAAGTCATAGTGTACGTGCAGGCATGGTGCAAGCTTGTAATCCTAGTACTCAGGAGGCTGAGACAGGAGGATTTCTATGGGTTTGAGTGCAGCCTGAGCTACATACCTTAAAGACTAAACTAAACCTCCTATCCCTTTTCTAAGTATAAATCTCTGATCAAATTCCTTTTTGACTCTTCTTTAAAATAGGCTGATAAATAAATTTTCATAATTTTTGTTTCCCTTTTAATGGAAGATTTATAAATTTAAAACCTGGCAAAATAATACAATTAGAACATAACTCTTTTTCTATGATTTTAAAAATATCACTTCAGTTTAACAATTGTATAAATATTTGTCCTGTTTCATATACTTTAAAACTTGTGGTTCTTGTTCCAGTGTATATTTTGTCAACTTTCTTTATGTTTACTTTTTTTCTTTTGTCTTTGAGACAGGTTTGCTATGCAATTCAGGCTGGCTTTGAACTCACTTTGTAAATCAGGCTAGTCTGGCACTCGCAGCAGTCTTCCTGCCTGAGCCTCCTGAGTGCTAGGATTGCAGGCATATGTCACCATGCCAACCTCTTTGTATTTACTTAATTTAAATAACTGACATAAGCAGGTTTTAGAAAAACAAACTCTTGGGTAGAATTCAACCTTAACTGATGAGGCTGAAGATGTAGCTCAGTGGAAGAGTTGTTTGCCTGGCATGTGGAAGGCCTTAGTTAGATCCCCAGCGAGGCCAAAAGGGAGGAAAAACTCAATGGGAGCAGAAGTATCCAGAGGAATTAGGGCATAATCTATTAAACACTGTGCATTAGTGTACTTTGGGCACCCGTCAGCTTTCATGGGCAATGGAAGCTGTCACTCGTCCTCTAATTTGGGTAACTTGAGGTCAGTTAGGAGAGCTTCCAGTCTCGAATATTTGCTGAGATCACAATATTCATTAGAGGTTATTTCAGTCTTCATTGAAGATCTTAATAGCTTCTAGAATATTCATAGAAATAGGATAAAAGCAGTAAAAACCACATTAGCTGTATGATTTAGGAGTTTGAATTATATAATCACTTTCTATCATTTGATTTTTTTTCATTTGTTTAAATATGTGTTGTTCCATGTTATACTTTATTTTACAGTGGTACAGAAAAAAAGAAAGAAAAACCACAAGAACAGAGAGAAAAAAAAGAGGAATCTCATTCTAATGATCACAGTCCACAAACTCGAGCATCACCTTCTCCCCAGCCCTCTTCACAACCTCTCCAAATACACAGACAAACTCCAGAAAGCAAGAATTCTGCTCCCACTAAAAGGTTTTAACTGTCCCCAGTACAGAGCTAGGGCATGGTTGTAAAGATGCCTAAATTCTGTGACTTGGGAGAATGTTGGCTATCCATGGATTCCAGTGTGAAGCCTCGTACGAGGCTTGCTTTTTTCCTTTTTTGTTGTAACTTGTATTTGAGCACATTGTGGAATAAAAATTTATGGTCAGAATTCCTTTTTTAAAACTGAAAAAGAAAACCAGACATGGTACATGCCTATAATCCTGGCACTTGGGAGAATTGATGTGACTTCGAGGCTGCCTGAACTACATTGTGAAACCCTGTTTCAAAAAACAAGAAAAGGAAATTAACTTGTAAACAGTCTGGTGAAAGACACAAAAAGCCTACTTTAAAATGAAAATAATATTTTCATAAAATACAAAATACTGTTTAATTTATATATGAGCATGTATAATCTTATAGCCATGGATAGAAAATGGCCGTATGCAGTCATCCTCACTACATTTTGGCATCATTACAACCTTCAGCTTGCAAGGACCCTTCTCAACAAATAGCTCTTTGTTGTGGCTGCATCTCAGTTTAAGTTTTGGGTCTTGGGAGGATAAGTTCTTGCTTGATTAGAGAATTGAATCCATTTCTCCTGGTCTTTTCTATGCTAAGGCTTGCTTGAGGGCTACTATGTCCATAGTAATATTTTTAAGTTAGAGTGAGAAGGGAAAACAGTCTAACAGTGTGTGTGAGCCTAAGTTGAGGAGCTAAACCTGCATGCTGGGAGCTCACTGCTATAGTACCTTGTAATTAAGTATTGGATCAACTTCATTAAATTTGCCTATTTTAGAAATGCTTTACAAGTTTTATCATGATATATATATATATATATAATCACTATACTTTTTTGCTTAGAAATCTTAGGAAACTATTAAACCATTCCCAGAACAAGCTAGGATTTTAATAAAATGAATGGCAACCATTCCTAAAAGATTGTAATACATTTTTATTTGACTAGTTTAATATTTTGCGTCAAGTCTGTAATGGGAATTTGGAAAACCAGAATACCCTTCACTTGATTGATGCACGTTTACCATTTACAAAATGTTTTGTCTGTGTGTCCTACACAGATTTTATGCTAAGTGTTTTTAATTCTCCTGCCTAGTCTGTGGTGGAATTTTTCTTGAATATAAATTATTGTTATGCAGCTTCAGAGTATGTATGGTTAAAGGTGGCTTTTTTATTAATCAATCTCTTTAAGGTTCTGATTTGACTTGGTATCTTCTTCATCCCAGAATCTTTTTTTTTTCAGCTTCTTGAGGTCTCCTGGAAATATGCTTACCCTTCTAAATTGCTCTTTGGATGTACTGTTGCAAGAAGTATTAAAGACCGGATGAGTTAGGACCGTTAACAATGCAGCAAAAAAGTCATTTGTAAATCAAAAATTTTGTGTTACAAATATACGAATCAGCACTAGTAATACTACATTTTTTTGTCTGTCAAGTCTTATTTTAGACCATGGATAAAATTGTCTCTAAAAATACAAACAGTTTCACTTTTAATCTCAATTTAGGGATTGTTATTTGTACCACATACAACTTAATTACATTAGGATGTAATTGCATAGAAAATGCAAATTGGAGCCTAGGAATTCATTGAGCATGAAAAGATCTAATTTTTGTTCAGTAGAAGTCATGAGAGTAATCTAGAGTGGTGGCGCATTCCTGTAATCCAGCAAGGATTAGTCCGGGAAGCTAAGGGCAGGAGCGCCACAAGCTCAAGCTAGTCTGGATAATTTAGTAAGACTGTCTGAAAATAAAAAAAGGGCAGTGCGTGCAGCTCAGTGCAAAGGCCCTGGTGTAATCTGCAGTACTGGCAAAAGAAAACTATTCTGAGATGTAAGCAAATAGATTTTTTTCTGAAAACAGCAAAAAAGTGGTATAGATTCCTTTTTATCAGGTATTTGTTCCAATGACTCTGGAATAATACCAAAAACTATAGTACACACTTGGGGTCAACCCATTTGAGACCTCTCATGTCTCTCAGGAGCCATTTCTATTCCCTCTTTCTTTCCTTCAGTAAATTGTCCTGCTCCTTAAAAATTCAGTCAATCAATCAGTCAGTCATTCAATCAATCGTTCAGTCCAGACTTGGTCCTTGCCTTGTTTAACTCCTTTACTCATCCGGGCAAAGCCTTTCAACTAATCCTTTCCTTTCTTTTCTGGATTACCTTTAAGAAAGTGTTAATTGCTGCTTTTGTGTTCGATTTAAACTTTCACTTCTGTGTCACTGGTATTCTCATTTTTTCTCTAAGAAATGAATATGTTTCTCCTAGCATAAAACGACCAACAGCAGCTGAAAAGTTACATAATTCATGGGAGAATTCAGATGATAGTCGTAATAAATTATTGAAAACACCTTCAACATCCAAATTAATATCAAAAGTTACAAAAAATACAGACAAGTAAGTAATACTTCATTACAATTGGAAGTTAATGGTACTATTATATTTATATGTACAATTATATATGTCTGCTTTGAATTTTAAAATCTGTATTTTAATTTATGTAATTTTTTTCTACTAAGTCTCAGAAAAACTGTGTCTTCCTATTAAGGCTCCCTGGGTCACATTGTAAATCTTAGTGATGTTGTAAGATCTGGGTACTTCTCTTACCTTTTTATGCTTTCACTTGGTCACGTGATCCTGTAGGCCATTCATTTTGTAAAACAGTGTATCTTAGGAGTTGATAGCATGAGAAATTATAAAATACTGATACATGGATTTCATTTCTGGATTTATGTAAGGTATGGGCAAGATATCAGAGTTTAGCACTTTCTTCAGATGTATAAAATTCACTTGTATAAAATTGTAGACTAAATATATCCTTTGAATTCCTTTTTAGGCATAAAGATGTCATCATCAACCAAGGTAAATTAAACATCTTTTAAAAATATCTATTCTGCTTTTTATGGCAGTTTTAAGTTTTTCAAACCAATAAGAATGTCAACTTACTTTCAGTTAGTATATGTTATTAGCCCCTAGGAATAAGAGACATATGTTTCTGTAATTATTTTTAAAATGCTCAGTTTTTGGTAAAGATCTGTCATTTTTGTCTCAACCAGCAAAAATGTCAACCCGCGAAAAAAACAGCCAAGGTAAGAATAAGCCACATAGTTTGTTGCCTTCTAAATTAATTTTTCTTGGATCTCTTATCTGGCTTTTCATTACTTTTACACCAGGCTTTCCTCTTTTTTAAAAAAAGGAATGTCATGGTAATTGGAACTTGTGAATCCAAGAAATTTATTTTCTGTCAACTGTGAAGATTTAAGTTGATCAGTAAAAATATAGCTTTACACAGACGGATAAATATTTTCTCCCTCTTAAAAAAAAGTTATACTTAGAAAAGCCATTTAAAAGATTGATAAATTTTAACTTGATTTCCTGTCTTGTCACCTGTATTACAAATAATCGCTCAAATCTTGACAGAAGACTGAAAAGATAAGTGTAGCAAACCATTTTCTCTTAAGTTTTTCTTTTGTATTAATTAGAATGTCTGGCTACTTTCTGTTGTTAGCTTGTTCTGACCAAAAATGGAGAGCAGGCATTTTGTAAATGTATATTTAATAGCAATATAGGTAAATTTCACAGTTTTACATCCCTCTTAGCTTGCCTGCAAGTTTAATTGGAGCATGCTGTTCCTTCCAAGTGGAAGCATGTCTCTTCTGTGCATGCTTCTCACAGCTCATTTGTATGTCATAAGCATCTTCATTTTCTGGGCGATTAGCCAGCTAAATTGTGGTGAAAATATTTGTTAGACATTTAACTTCATTTCTATAGATTCTTACTTCCTTCAGTTCCAATAAGAAGTATTTATTTTTTGTTGTCTCTGGATCGTTTGTTTGTACATAGAAATTGTAAAAGAGATTCAGTTTTGGTGGTATTCTTCTCAGGCTTTAATTTTCTCCCTTCATTATAATAACTATTATTTACTAAACTAATTGTATTAGATTAATAATGTAGCTACTTTAGGGAAAATGAAATTTATCCACAAAGACATTCTTACTACATTATGTGTTAAATACTTCTTTCTTTGAATGGCAAAGTCTGTCACAGTGCTGTGTGGTGGCAACAACAGTGAGTGAGTAGCATCGCTGCAATTAGTGTCGGGCCCTGGCTCTTCCGTACAGTGTCTCTGAGTTTCTTAATCTGAAGATAACAACTGTAAAACTTCTTTCACATGACTGCTGAAGGATGAAATGATACATATCAGGATACTTTAAAAATAGAAAACACAGGAACTATAAGTATGTACTGCTATTAAATGTTTTGCTAAAGAGCTCAGATTTTGTAAGATTAATGACAATGAGAAAGGACTGTTTGCCTTTTGTGTTTCATGCATTCTTTGGAGGGAAAAAGGAAATTAAGGTTGATGTATGACAGTGGTTTATGTTGATGACACAATTTTCAAAATCAAGTAAACAAGGTATTTGAAAGGGGGCAGATTTTGCATCAGAAGAATCACTAAACAGTGAATAGCCAGTGCCTGGCAAGAAGGATAGAATGAAAAGTTGGGAAAGAATATAGAAAAATAAGTTTGATGCTATTACAAGATTTTTACCTTAAAAAGATTGCTCCAGATGTGGACAATTGATGTCAGACGTTGCTTGCTTTGAAATGTGAGTCTGTTCCTTTGTTGGTATAATTATTACATCCTTTGTAGAGAATAGACTCGTATCACTGGAGCATGCCCACAAGAGCTGTTTTCAATGTGTCATGTAATTCAGGCCTCGTAGTGATTAAGGCAGAGGCTATGGAGGGAAACAGATGGATTCTGGGTGGTACCGGATAGGTAGGATACGGCAAGTAGGGACTCTATGAGGACTGAGCAACTAGGTAAACAGCCTGTGCTGAAATAAGAAAATTTTGTGGCATTGAGAGTTGGAAAAAAAACAGGAATGTGGTTTTGCGTAATTGCACTTTGTGTTGCCTTTGAGAATTAACCTACAAAAAATAGAGATGTATGGCAAATGTAACAGATGTTTAAACCCTTGGATTTTTGGAGTCCAGAGACTGATTTCATCATTGACTCAGTGATGGTGAACTTGGGCAGATTATTTTACCTCCCTCAGTTTTTGTTTTCTTGTGCATATTTGAGATAATACACCTTCAAAGAGTTTTTGTAAAAATTAGATAGTAGGAAAGCATTTTAATACAGTGCCTGGCAAACAAAATAAATTTTAGTTAAAAGTGAGTCTGCCAATGATAACTTTTGCACTCAGAGGAAGATGAGAAGATAACCACTAAACAGAAGATCTTCATTTGATATAAGTTGTAAATCTATTTTTAAAGTTTAGTATTAGACGTGCATGGTACATTCACAGCACATTTTCTTGTATTTTAGTTATTAATGCTAATATCTATCTTTTTTGTAAAATCTTTTAAATATATGATTTATTAATTTCTCTAGCTCTTTTTTGACAATGACAACTCTGACTTGTTCCAAGCCACCTGCTTTGATTTGGGAAGAAGCCTATTTACATTTGGTACACTTCGGTGAGTGGTAGCAGAGAAACTGCCTAAAAGGCCTGCGTCCTTCAGGCACCACAGTGGTCAGCACTTGGGCAGAAGGCTGGAAGTAGTTGAAAGCAGTAGGAAGCAGGGTGGGGGATGTGCAGGCAGGCAGCTCTTGAGGCTAGGTGTGAGGGGAAGGATGGACTGTGCCACTAAAAGGAGGCTCATACTAACCTGAATCTTCATTTGTGCCCTGAATCCAAGCCCCTTTTTGTTACTCTTCTCTTTGGTTCTGGTTCTGTTCTAGTCATAACAGAGATGAACTCCTGACACATCTTAGGAATTGGACTGTTTTAATGTAGGACATATATCTGTGATTATGTATGTGCTATTTCTAACATTGACCAACATTTTCTCAACTCTCCCTCACTCTAAACCACTCCTACCTCTACTTTTGAGAGATCAACTCTCTTAGCTTCTTGGTATGAGGGAGATGATGCAGTAATTGTCTCTGTGCCTATGTTTGTTTTGTTTTTTTAAAGACAAAGTCTGACTGTGCAGTTCAGACTGGCCTGGATTCACTGTGTAGCCCAGCCTGGCCTCAGACTTGCAGCGATCCTTCTGTCTCTGCCTCCGAAGTGCTGGGATTACAGGCATGCACCACCATGCCGGGCAGCCTGGCATATTTCACTTAAACATAATGTCCTCCAGGTTTACCCACGGTTTTGGAAATGATAGCTCTTCCTGTTTTATGGCTTTAATTCCAAGGAGTACGAGAAAGAGAAAGGAAAAGGAGTATTGAGCTGGATGTGGTGTGCACACCTGTATTCCCAGCACTCAAGGGGCTGAGGCAAGAGGATCACCACAAGTTTGAGTCCAGCCTAAACTGCATAGTAAGACCCTGTCAAAAAAAAAAAGAAAGAAAAAGAGTAATACTGTCTGTTTATACTTCAGCTGTAGCATATCTTCACTGTTGTGAATATTTTCACAGTGAATTTATGAGTGTATCTTTTCAACATACTGATTTCATTTCCTTTATTATATGCCCAGGAGTGAGAGTAGTAGATCTCAAAGTGCCAATTTGTAATTAACAGACAATTAATTGGTCAGTTGACAGTCTGAATGCCCAAGGCCCCTACTGGAAAGAAATCTGCCTTTTAAAGGAAACCCACCTAAGGGTTGGCGAGATAGCGCAGTGGTGTAAGTGCCTTCCTGGCAAGCGCAAGTCCCTGGTACCAAAAAGAAAAATAAAAGAAACCCATCTATCACCAAATTCCACTCTCACTTCCTCTAACAGTACTCCCTCACGGCTGTACCAAATCAGTGTGGTAAACCCGAACTGTACAGCTATATTAGGATAGAAGACCAATTATGACATCTTGGGAACTTGAGAACTAGTTGATTATTCTATAAAAAAAATACTAGGGTTCTAGGTTTTTCGGTTTTTTTTTTTTTTTTTTAAGTTTTTTGTTTGTTTTGTGTTTTTTTGTACTGGCAATGCAGCTCAAGACTTCGTTCTTCTTATTGGTCAAGCAATGGCCGTAACTCATCCTCATGGCTGACACTGACAAAGGATCTACAAAGTGCGGTTCAGGGCTACAGGATAAATCCTGAGGGTACTTGGCTGACCTTATCAGATACAAAAGTTACATTTCTTGTTACGTAGGTCTTGCTTTATCTTGGTCTTAACCACTCAGAAGAAAAGTATAAAAATGAGGTATATAAAGTAAAGCCATGTTAATACAATGAGCTGTAAAAGGCTCAAGTCAATAACTTCTGAGGATAACCCACTAATATTATAGACTGCTACACAGTGTTGGATTGTTTAGCTGAATTCAAACACCTATAATATTTAGATGCCAATAGAATATCCACCTCTGACAGGACTGAAAAAAAAGGGGGGGAATACAAAGGAAAGATCATTTTGTATTTATATGTACAAAATAGTTAGAATAGATATACAGCTACTTTCGCTTAATTCAGTGAGAAGCAAGAGGTGTACTAATATTGTTTGGACAGGATATCCTGTCTGCTTCTTGTACTGTGGATAACCACTAAGAAGATAACAATGTACAATGTATTGATTATCGGAACTGTCCTATTAATCAGCTTTGAAGCTGTCTTGTTCATATTTGTTTCTCAATAAAATTTTAAAAAAAGAAGACTTTGCTCTTGCCAGGCTGGCACTTGTGCCACTGAGCCAAATCCCCAGTCCTCTAAAAAATACTTTCAAAGTAATTTTGAAATTCATACTTTCTAAAATCCCATGACCATTTGTGTAGCCAAATAGTTAAAATAGTTTATAAAATTGGGCAAAAAAAAATCCAGAGTAATCTTATCACATCTGTTACAGTTTTGATATGTTCATTTAGTCTCCTTTATCAGATATATATAATGTGTTCAGACTGACCTTGAACTCACTGTACAGCCAAGGCTGACCTTAAATTTGAAGCAGTCCTCCTGCCTCAGCCTCCTTAGTGCTGGAATTGTAGTTTATTGAACACTTATTTTGTCAGGCCCTGTCTTAAACAGCCATGGTTACAGCAAGTATCTGAACCACGTGGAATATATATTCTATATAATTGAAATGATACAGATGAAGCAGGTAACAAAATAATAAGTCAAGAGGGGATGCATAATTGGG